ACTTACCATGGACCCTTCTGTGAAGTCCTCCCCCCAAGGACATGAGCGCCGATATTATTTCTATTGCCACCAAACTGCAAGCTCGGGAATCGTTAGAAAATGATAACGGACCGTTCCCACCGCCAAGCTATAGAGAAGTATCTCGCTACTACCGCTGCACCCTAATGGGGTGTTCATGGTCGACGATCGTACGTGCGATTGGGCGATTAGGCGAGTAGGCGAGAGAAAGATGGAAAAAGTACCTGTATCGGTGTACCTGTATCGGTTCTTAGCTCCGCCTATTGAGCGATCGCGTAATCGCCTACTCGCTTCATAGCCTGATCTATACGGATACCTTCATCAGACTAATCGCCCAATCGCCCAGTGAAATCGCCCGTGCGATCACTACTGTACACCTTATATAGTCCCCACTGCAGTTGTAGTACCTGATATCCCAACGTTATGACCTTAAATCATGGTTTGGTTTCTAACCGTCTCTAATTATTAGAAAGAGACCCATTTTGATAACACTAAAGCGAGAATACGCAAAAACAGACTAACGATGCAAGAAGATAAATATATGAATGCTCTTTCATGAATTCTGCAGCTGGTTTGTACAGTATCACCGATCCTGCCATCATTGCGTTGATTAAAAGCTGAAACATAGCACTATTTCATCACTGGTCATGATGGATGAACTGAAAGCGGAAGTTCGTACCATAATAGTAACGATACCGAACACTTTGCGCACGAATCCAGCCCTTATGGAAGCGTCGTCGAAAGCCATACTAGGACGTGTCGGTTCCTTCGATCCGCTTTCTGCTTTTGCGTTCACATTTCCTTCCTGGAAACTGGTATGGGTTCTGATGCTTTGATGGGCGTCGTCGCAAGAATTTCTTCTTTACTATATAGGGAACTTAACCCCACGGCAGAGAGACCCAAGGAGCAATTTACACTTCCCTGCGATTATTGTCGTCTTCTAGGTTTAGTCTTAGAGAATGCTTCATATCTAGCGACAGCACCCTCGAATGCTCTTGCCAGCCTGCGAAAAATACTGTATCAGTTGGAGCTGACCTCAAGCATCGCTTCGTTACTCATCTCGAGAAGGGACTGCTTTTCGGCCTGCTGGTCAGCTTTGGTACACACTAGCAATGAACCTTCCTTTCGAGCGAGAAATCACATTGATTGGCTTCCCTTGTGCGCTGATACCCGAAGCAGACTGCTGCACTGGAGAAACGTAACGGCTGAGTCAGCATGATACATTCCATTCTCTTTCCTTCAGTTCATTCTAATCGGTTTTATACGGCGTCACGCACGCCACATGAATACTGAAGACCGGGCTACACGTGGGAGGACCTCAGACGGGCCTATTCAATCCTGTGATCCACTTCTCGGTGTTTGGCCTTCTTCTAAAGACCGATTGTTGTTTGATGAATGGTTCACTGCTTCGTCGTTTCTCTGTTTTCATGGCCCTACTAGTGTTTTTGTAATTCGTTTCCAGTCCTTAGTCAAAGCGCTGGAAAGGAGTAGTAGTAGCAAAGATCAAGTACTTCCGACCGTTGTCAGTTTGTAGGTTATGAATGTAGTGACTTCCGTAATTCTTGAAAGGGGAGAATGGTAAGTCGAAGTGGTCATTTGCCTGATACATCTCTGTATAGAGGATCTGTGCTCTCTCTATTTTTGTTCATCCTACATATATGTTGTTCATCCCATATGACTCGTTTGTAACTGTTATTAACGTTAACATCTGGCTGATCTATAGCACGAAAGGGCAAGATGTTTAAGTTCGGAGCCAATGTCCGCCTTATCAATGAGCTTCATCTCAACTCCGCCCATTTACCGTATAAATAGCTGTCAGCGGCTCTCAAGTTTTAGTTAGCCTCCTTACTTTGCCTCTTGACCGCTCATCCCTTCTTCACTTGCTGTAAACGTGCAATAAAAGTTGTGTATCAAGAGGTGAGTACGAAAGAAAGGACCCGCTTGGCACAACAGAATAGCAGATCATCGAAGGATCCCGTTTACTTCGGACGAAGAGTTCGAACATTTTGATCATGTCTTCTGGACGACAAAACAACGAAACTTGTGAAGTTTTTTTTGCCGGTGGAATGACCTCTAGTTACAGAGGCGGATTTGCAGCATCGGCGTGAGCGGATTGAACCCATTCGCGCATTTTTCTTTCTTCGTGAAAAAAGACAGCCTATTTAGAATTCAATGCGTAGAATACCGCCACTAACTTTTTGAATTTCTCCGCGTTGCGACGGATTTTAGCGTCGCAAAGCGTCGCCCCTTCATAACTCCCCCCAAAGCGGGTCAAATGATAGGAGCCCTTTACCATTGGACTCGTCTCTCTGTGGCGAGTCTAATCATGTGGAAAACCACGGTACTCGCCGTAAAAAATCGAAAAAAACACTAAAATCCGTCGCAACGAGGAGAAATTCAAAAAGTTAGTGGCGGTATTGTAGGTGATTAGGAGAAAAGACAGCTTATTTAGAATTCAAGGCATAGGCGGTCAGTGGTGCAGGTATGAAGATTAATCTACCAGAAACGGTGCAGAACCCGAGAATTTAACTTTCGACAATGCCGCCCTCTTTAACGCTATTGCTCCCTCGCTAAACGGCTAAGGGCCCACACGGGAAGATGGTGGGCGTGCTACGACGCTAGCGGCGCAGGGACGGACATGCCAGATTGCCGCGTCCGCCTTATTGAGGAGTCCGCCTGTTTTCCCACTAGGTGAATCTCCCCTTCTTCGAGCTCCGAAGAATCCTCCTTCAATAGGAGTGAACTGTTGTGTCTCTTTCACCACTGCGCAGCTGCATTTTACGTTTATGATAAAGTTCTCTTTGAATTCCCACTTCGAATTTGAGGCATTTCAACACTCAGCGCAAGAGCAGGGGGTCTTCAAGTGGGTGTAGTACCTGTATTTAGGAGATTAAGCCACCTCAAAAACAAATTTTTTAGTCAGATCAGGTCAATTTTTTAGTCAGATCAAGGTCCGTTATTAGGTCAAGATCAAGATTCTGACCTTGACATAGTAGCAAGAGTGTGGCTACTTATTTTAGCCCTGTGTGAGCTTTCAAGTCGCCAGTGTTTCCGACGCTAGCCCACGATAATAAATCATGTGCGCATGAGGAGTGATTTCGTTGCAAACTCGTCTAGGAGGGTAATTGTTGACCTAATAACGGATACAGAAGGGAGAGGGGGAGGAGTACAGGGGAAAAATTTGCTTGCCTATGGCGCCCTTCAGCTAATCTCATCATCACACATATTGCGGCCGTTCAGGAAAGTTTTACGACAAAATGTTCCCCAGATGTGCCTTGACAGGCAGCAGCGAGCTCTAGTTCACTATCCTCGCATTCTTCTGAATACTTATTATTTGTGATCTTTCAGTGAGCTACAAACCGGTCAAAGTCAGGCGAAACATTTGCTCTGCGATAGAGCTTATTTCGTCGTTTGTTTTGCGGGATCAGGATTATTCAATCTCCCTAGCTCAGAAAACTGCACTTCAAAGTCAACTCTGGTTTACTAGGGCCGTTGGAAGGGTCGGACCGGTGGTAATTTTGACCAGCTGCGTTCTCCCATTGAAGTCAAGCCTGAACACATCACTATCAGCTGAACCTTACATCTTGCTAGTGTTAAGTCGGCTGGGTCAGCGCTCTTAAGAATGGCGTCACATTACCCTTCCCTAGGGGCTAGATTCCCTTTCCACTGGTTCATCACAGTTTCTCACACATGAGATTTATCGTCCTCACTGCTTAAAGGCAATCACGTAGAAAAGTTTGACCGCCTGATAAGCAGAATCTCAGGAAGTACTGTATGTACCGATAAATCAAGAGGCCCTAGCTTCAAAGCTGTTAAAGTTGCAGAATGCAAAGGGTGGAAACCTTGCACGGGCCGGGAATCGAACCCAAACCGCCCACGTGGCAGGCGAACATTCTACCACTGAACATCCGATGCTCGCTGTTCACAGATTTCCACCCTGACGTAAAATGCCAATAG